TAATGCCATAGAGTTCACCCCACAGAATAGCCATTTTCTCCAACGGAACTGATCTCTAAAGTCTGGAGGACAGTTGTAATTCCTGGAGATCTCCAGGCAGCAGCAGAAGAAGAAGAAGAGGAGGAGGAGAGGAAGGAGAATAGGAAGGAGGAGAGGAAGGAGAAGAGGAAGGAAAAGAGGAAGGAGAAGAAGTTTAATTATAATTTAGCTCAAGATTGATTTGATAACATATTGTAAATTTATTATAACGAGCTAAGATTGTTTGAAAATCTTATAAACATTATTATGTAATACTTTTGGGAGAAGAAAGAAGATGAAGAAGAAAATATGAAGATAAAGCCTGCATGTGAAGTTTTTTATATATATATATAATATTAATGATTTTGGTGGTGTTAAATTATATTTAAAAAATTCTTCAATAAAACTGCTTTAAAACCTTCAAAAGAAGTCCAGTTTTTGGTGACCCGAATGGGGGACGCAATCCGTGACCCGGTGGATGGGAGGGGGCGCGATTGTCCGCACCACCCCCGGGGCCCCTGCAGGGAGCTCCCAGCCATGGAGTGTGAGATGTGCCGCTCCCAAGGCATGCTGTTGAGGGACTGAGACACCTTTGAGCTCTGATGGTCCCACCGCCGTGGAACCAGCAATGGCGATAGGGGCGCACACCGGGACAAGCGAACGGTGATCAAGCGAAACCCTTACCTCAACATGATCGACGACAAAGTGTGAGTCTTTCTTGTAAAAGCAAAACATCCGGATAAACATCCAAACGAAAATATCCTCCCCCACCCCACCCCCAAGATAAGCGGAGTGGAGGATTCACTCCGTGATTAAACAAAAGCAATAAAAATGTTTTTAAAAAACTTAAAAAGAAGAGGAGGAGGAGTTGGATTCATACCCTGCCCTTCACTTGGAGTCTCAGAGCAGCTTACAATCTCCTTTCCCTTGTTATTTAATGTTTTTTTATTCAAAGGGTAGCCATTTTGGTCAACAGTAGAGCAGCTAGATTAGAATCCGGTAGCATCTTAGAGACCAACAAGTGTTTGAGAACATGAGCTTCTGAGAGCCTGACAAAAGGACTTTTGACTCTTGAAAGCTCCTACCCAAAAAATCTTGTTGGCCTCTAAGGGGCTCGAAAGCCAGTCGAATCCGACTCTAGGGATGCGGTGCTCATCTCCGTTTCCAAGCCAAAGAGCCAGCGCTGTCCGAAGACTTCTTCGTGGTCATGTGGCCGGCATGACTAAACGCCGAGGCGCACGGAATGCTGTCACCTTCCCACTGAAGCGGTACCCATCTATCTACTTGCAGTTTCTTGCTTTCGAACTGCTAGGTTGGCAGGAGCTGGGGCCAGAGACGGGAGCTCACTCCATCATGCGGCACACCCGGGTCTCAAACGGCTGAGCTACAGCCCTTCTGGTCTGCAGCTTCAGCGTCTTAACTTCTGAGCCTGTGTCCAAAGATTTCAGCCTGAATGCCAGGCAGAATGAAAGTTAATAGCAAGAAGGCCCCGGGTGAAAAAGTCAAGAGGCAAAGACGCCGACCTGATCAAACGCAATCCCATAGAAGACATTTAAAATTAACGGACTTACAGCCTGTGATCAACTCCAATTACGGCAAGCCACAAGGAAAGCGGAGACCCATGCCAAGGGGCCCTGGAGGCTGTAGGTGAAGCAGAGGGAAATATATCCGACGTGACCAGGAACACAAATCAACACAACACACCATGTTTCCAGCCAGTCCTGTCTGGGAGCAAACGCTTTTTCACAAATATGGTTTTGGATTTTGGGGGGGGGGGAGATGGAGAATCGTTTTGCCTTCCTTTACTTTCCCAAGAACAGACTCTGGAGCTCCTGGCAGGGTGACCAACTTCAGGTTCAGAAACACCTGGTGGTGGCATTGTATAAAAATTCAAAAATACTGGTGAATGATACAGAAGATAATTCTAGAAGTTACAGAGGTTAATTTAAACTTAGAACCAGAATGTTATTTGCTTAACATGATTTTGCTAGTTACATCTTGCTAGAACTCTTTTGGCAAAGTATTGGAAATCTGAGAAAATCCCCTGTGAGAAAGAACTAATTAACAAGATACTAGATCTAGCTGAAATGGATAAATTAAGTTTACTTCTGCAAGGCAAAGGTGATGAAGTGTATACGGAGAGGTGGTCAAGAGTTTATAAATTGATCAAAAATAAACTAAACTGACGAACTCAAATTGTAACTAAAAGTAAATATGTATGTTTGTCTACAACTAAGAAAAATAATAAATATATTTAGTAATCAGGGCTATTTTTGGGCAGGAACGCACAGGAACGGAGTTCCGGCTGGCTCCCAAGTTGGCCACGCCCAGCAGGAACTCATTAGCATAATAGGCCACACCCAACAGCAGGAACTCTTTAGGATTGGCTACATTAGGGGTGTGTGGCCTAACATGCAAAGGAGTTCCTGCTACAAAAGAAGGCCCTGGGTTTTGACAGCAAACAAGGTAAACAGAATAAGAAGCAGAAGGTGGGTGTGGCTGGCTGGATGACCACACTTCTGGTAACATGGGGGTGCGGCCTAATGTGCTAATGAGCTGTGCTGTCAGGGGTGTGGCACAATATGCTAATGAGTTCCTGCTGTTGGGTGCGGCCTATTATGCTAATGAGTTCCTGCTGGGCTTTTTCTACAAAAAGAGCCCTGTTAGTAATAATAATTTTTAAAAATACCTGGAGATTTGAGGATGGAGCCAGAGAGACGGGGTTTCGGGAGCGGAGGGAACTCGGTAGGGCACGAGGCCACACCGTCCACCTTCCAAAGCGGCCCTTTCCTCCAAGAGAAGTAGAATAAGGGTTTTAGATAAATAAATCACAAACAAGCAACGTGGAGGTTAGCTGCCCCAACTTCAGGCCTTGGTGGCCCACCAAACGGAGCCCCCTTCACACTCCTCCCCCTCCCCGGCTGCCCCGGAGGATCTTCGGACCTTGCCTTGGCCCTTTGGACTCACATGAACCCAAGAAGCTCCCTTCTACTGAATCCTTGCTCCACCCAAGTCGAGAGCCAGTTTGGTGTACCTGTTAGGAGAACGGACTCTAATCCGGAAGAACCGGGTTTGATTCCCCACGCCTCCACATGCAGCTGCTGGCGTGACCTGGGGTCCATCGCAAGTTCTCTCGGAGCTGTTCTCTCAGGAGCAGTCCTCGAAAGAGCTCTCTCAGCCCCACCTGCTTCACAGGGTGTCGGTTGCGGGGAGGGGAAGGGGGAGGAGATTGTGAGCCGCTCCGAGACTCCGAGGGAAAGGGGGGTATAAATCCAATCTCTTCTTCTCTCTTCTTCTATGGTCTACTCAGACCGGCAGCCGCTCTCCAGGGTCTCAGGCGGAGGTCTTTCCCATCATCCGCTGCCTGGTTCTTTTGAGTGGAGGTGCCGGGGATTGAACCTGGGAACTTCTGCATGCTAAGCAGGGGCTCTGCCACTGAGCCGCAGCTGCTCTGACTCTTCCTTTGGAAAGACGGACATGTGCGTGTATACTGTTTTGCAGGTATTGTATATGTTATAAGTTATACTTGATCTTAATAAACATTTTTTAAAAAAATCCCTGGAGATTTGGAGGCGCAACCCGGGAAGGGCAGACCCTCAGCGGGGCACATTGCTACAGAATCCACCCTCCAAAGTAGCCCTTTTCTCCAAGGGAACTGACCTCGATCCTTGGGAGAGCAATTTAGTCTGGCAACCCTACTGTGGACTGGAGATCAGCTGAAGTTCTCTAGGCCCCACCAGGAGGTTGGCAACCCTAGGAGGTCAGGCATGTGCTCTTCTATTCTTCTTCCACTGTCCGTGTGAACAGAGAGTCTCAGTACACCTCCCACAATTAGAAAAGATACCTTTACACATTTATCCCATATTTATTGCTTCGCTGTCCTTTTCCCCAGAAGAAGGAGGAGGAGCAGGAGGAGATTGGATTTATATCCCGCCCTTCACTGGGAATCTCAGAGCATCTTACAATCTCCTTCCCCTTCCCTTCCCCACAACAGACACCCTGTGAGGTGGGTGGGGCTGAGAGAGCTCTTTCCAAAACTGTCCTTGAGAGAACAGCTCTAGAACAGCTCTTGTCAGAACTAGGGCTTGCCCAAGGTCATCCACCAGCTGCAAGTGGAGGAGGAGTGGGGAATCAAACCCGGTTCTCCCGGAGCAGACTTAACCACGACACCAAACCGGTTAAATCAAAGCAACTGTTGACTTTATAAGCTTAGCTTTTTATTTAGTTTTGTCTTTGCACATCTTCATCATGTGACGTGTTAATTTGCTGTTGAGCCCATCTATAGGTCTGAACTCTATACCTCCCGTTCTGATGTATTTGAAAAAGTGTGCCTTGCACACAAAAGCTCATACCTTGAATAAACCTTTGTTGGCCTTAAAGGTGCCCCGCTGGGCTCTGAATTCGTTCTTGTGCCTGGATTAGTACCCCAATTCTCAGGTAGTTACACACAGCAGCAGGTTATTGCAAGCACACAACTCCAGACTCGGTCCTGGCACCTGCAGAGCAAATGTTTGGGGCAGTGCTGCTCAACCACCCCACAAGGTGGAATTGAAGGCAAACCGGTTAAATCAAAACAACTGTTGACCTTATAAGCTTAGCTTTTTATTTAGTTTTGTCTTTGCACATCTTCATCATGTGACGTGTTAATTTGCTGTTGAGCCCATCTATAGGTCTGAACTCTATACCTCCCGTTCTGATGTATTTGAAAAAGTGTGCCTTGCACACAAAAGCTCATACCTTGAATAAACCTTTGTTGGCCTTAAAGGTGCCCCACTGGACTCTGAATTCGCTCTTGTGCCTGGATTAGTACCCCAATTCGCAGGTAGTTACGCACAGCAGCAGGTAATTGCAAGCACACAACTCCAGGCTCGGTCCTGGCACCTGCAGAGCAAATGTTTGGGGCAGTGCTGCTCAACCACCCCACAAGGTGGAATTGAAGGGGGGCAGAGTCTGGAAAAACCCCATTGTCCCTTCTTGAGTACGTGCAGGGACTCTCTCCAAGACATGTGGGTCGTGTTTCGCAAGGGTTTCCACTTTCAGATCGAGATTCAAGGATAAGGGTCCGGTGTGCAGGTTCAGCGAGTTGCTGTGAGCAGGGAGGCTGGTCTTTGCGCTGATATAATTCGTCTGGGGGCCGGGACTCCGAGAGGCAACGGCTGCCAGAGTGGAGTGGGAAGGCAGTAATCCACTGGCAGGAGGAGGTGCGTGCGTCCGGTGTCCCTTGCGCCAAGGAAAACGCTGGGCGGCATCATCGGCCAAAGGGAGGGCGAAGAGTCTTGTGTGCATCAGGGAGGAAGCTGCAAGCCGCACCTGGAGATGCCAGCCCAGAGATCCAGCCCAGCCGCCACCGCCGCCGTGGTTCTCACACTCTTCTCCTGGGCTCGCCTTTCAGAGCAGGCACCTGCGAACGGTAAGGCACCTTTCATGTTTGCCGTTTCTCAAGTCTCGCATCGGTAATGCATGCCGCAGATGGGAAGCCGTTAGACGTCTCCGTAGCACACCTGCACATCTGGAGAATGTGTTTGTGGACGGGGCGCGCAGCTTTCTCGCAGCCTAGCCGGGGTGCGCAGCTTTCTCGCAGTGGCCGCTTAAGTTTAAAGCACCGGTATCTCTGATCGAAGCAGACTTGGGATGCTGTAATAAGAAGCTTCTGGTTGCTTCGGCTTTTCAGCTGGGCTCTGCTAATGCTCTCGGTGCGACTAGGTTGGTTCGTTTGCTCTTTGTAACTCTGCTTTGTGTCTTATTGTTTTGTTGGTTAATTTGTGTGTTCTTGGCTAATTGCATTCTTATTGATTGATTGCATTTTTGTGTGAGTTAACTTATATTTTTATTTGGTTTCTGTTTTTGTGGTCTGCCGTGTGGGCACTGTGGCCAAAAGGTGGCGTAGAAATATCTTTAACAGCAGAGAATACTATTTTCAGATGGGTAGCTATGTCGATTTGCAGTAGAAGAGCGAGATTCGAATCCAGGGCACCTTAAAGACCAGTGAGATTTCCAGCTATCTGACAAAGGGAGCGTTGACTCTCAAAAACGTATATCCTGGAAATCTAGTTGGTCTCTAAGGTGCTAGGTAAAGGTAAAGGTTTCCCTCGCTCGAAAGCCAGTCGAATCCGACTCTAGGGGGCGGTGCTCATCTCCGTTTCCCAGCCGAAGAGCCAGGGCTGTCCGAAGACTTCTCCGTGGTCATGTGGCCAGCATGACTAGACGCTGAGGCGCACAGAACACTGTTACCTTCCCAACGAAGTGATACCTATTTATCTACTTGCCATTTCTTGCTTTCGAACTGCCAGGTTGGCAGGAGCCGGGGCCAGAGATGGGAGCTCACTCCGTCATGCGGCACTCGGATCTCGAACTGCCGAGCTACCGACCTTCTCTAATCTTGCTCAGATAATACTCCATAGTGGTCTTGAGTACCCCAAGATACATGTTCTTTACATCTCAATAAAACAGCTCAATAAGTCTAAGAAATTGTATTCGGCTATGCTCCTGCAGAATGCTGGACCAGATGACCTGCAGGGTCCCTTCCAACTGTAACATTCTATGATTCTATGATTCTGTTCTGCTCAACCTGTAGACACTGGACCGATATTGAGCATTTACTGGATTTTTGTGATCCTTTTATTGATAATCCCTGGTTTACATACACTTCTTGATACAGGGTGGACTGCTGATGGAAGCAGTTTGGTCTCCCGTTCCGTGACTGTGACAGGCTGGGATTGATTTGAGACATCTTCAATTCTATCCATTCAACGAGATTTATTTTGTTTGGATATTCTTGGTTCACAGCTGACGCAGTACCCTGGCTGCATCACCAGAGAAATGATGGACCTTCTTGGTCCACGTTGTACATGACTTCAAACATCTGAGCCACGGTTTAAGGCTCAGTTGTGGTGGGAAGGGCCGTCTAGTTGCAGCTCACTCATGGCGAAGAGACGTGCAGAGGCGGTTGACCATGGCCTGCCTCTGCGTAGCGTCCCTGGACTTCCTGGGTGGTCTCCCATCCAAGTATTGACCAAGGCTGGCCCTGCGTAGCTTCCAAGATCTGATGAGATTGGGCTAGCCTGAGCCGTACAGATCAAGACAAGAGATGTTCAGAGGTGGTTTGCAGTTGCCTGCCTCTGCGTAGCAACCCTGGGCTTCCTTGGTGGTCTCCCGTCCAAGTACTGACCAGGGCTGACCCTGCTGAGCTTCTGAGATCTGATGGGATCGGGCTAGCGTGGGCCATCCAGGTCAAGGCAAGAGACATTCAGAGGTGGTTTTGCCATCTCCTGCCTCCACATAGCAACCCTGGGCTTCCTTGGTGGTCTCCCATCCAAGTACTAACCAGGGCCAAACCTGCTTAGCTCCTGAAATCTGACGAGATCGGGTTCACCTGGGGTCACCAAGGTCACAGCAAGAGACGTTCAGAGGTGGTTCACCATCGCCCGCCCCTGCGTAGCAACCCCGGACTTCCTTGGTGGTCTCCCATCCAAATATTGACCAGCACTGAACAATATTCCCTCTAATCTGTGGAGTCCTGTGAGCAAAAATTCTACTTTGTGAGCTACTGGCATGAAAGTTGTGAGCAGGCGACTTGGCTGCTGCATACATTAGTTTCCTCTGGAGCCATCCTCCCTGAGCTGAGTCGAAAATCTGTGAGTTGGAGGCGAAAAAACTGGGAGCTGGCTCACACTAACTCAACTTAGAGGGAACACCGGTGCTGATCCTCCTTAGCATTCAAGATCTGATGAGATTGGGGTAGCCTTGGGCTATCCTGGTCAGGGTGGTTGAAGCTTAGAAAGGATGAAGCGTCCCCCACCCAACAGATTTTTCCATATAACATGATCAACAGCTTATACAGAACCACCGGTTGTAGATGACAATCATGTGCCCTAGACTGAAACGACACGTGCCTCTTAAAGCACGTGAAGTTTGAAAGGCGGTGGTGGAGTCACCTTCTGCCATGACCCCCTGTGGACGTAGAAACCCGGAACAAGGACATTTGGAACCGTCCTCTTGTTTCTCACACCGAGAGCGAGAGAGGGGGACTGAAAGGAATGTTTCAAGGGCCGTGCATGCGCCCACAGCCTTAGCGCCGACGTGTGCACGTTGCCATACAAATGCACTGCAAAACCTTTAATCCATAGATCTGGTGGGGGGTGGAGGGGAGAAATGTGAAGGATGACAGATCTTAGGAGATAGATCCAGGTGGTCAGCCGAGTTGGTCTGAAGCGGTAGAGCAAATTCAGAGTCCAGCGGGGCACCTTTAAGACCAACAAAGTTTTATTCCGGGTGTGAGCTTTTGTGTGCAAGGCACACTTCTTCAAATATTTGGAAAAGTGTGCCTTGCACACGGAAGCTCATACCTTGAATAGATCTTAGGAGCGTATAGTAAAAAGCTAAAAAGGCATTCCCGAGACCCTTCCGAAAGACATAAAAGGGACAGGGATTTACCAGAAAAGGGGATAAACGTGGCAATTTGTGTGCATTTTAGGGAGGCACCGGATTTCTTCTTGCCCTTTTGCTTTCACAACACAGTTACACTAACTGCGTGTTGTAGAAAAAAAGCCAAGAGTCCAGGAGCACCTTAAAGACTAGCAAAATTTGTGGCAGGGGAGGAGCTTTCGCCCGTCACTGCAGTCACTTTTTCAGGTACAGCTAGGGTGGGAGTCCATCTGTCCTATTTATTGGAAGGTGGAGTGGTTTCAGATGCCGAATGACATCAGCAGGCGAATGTGAGTGTGTAAAGTCCTGATGCGGCCGACGTATGGCGACCCATAACGGGGGGCTTTCAAGGCAAGAGACGAACAGAGGTGGCTTGCCATTGCCTGTCTCTGCACAGCAACCCTGGACTCTCTCACTGGTCTCCCATCCAAGCACTAGGGTCGCCCGGTCTGAGCCGGAAAATACCCGGAGACTTTGGGGGTGGAGCCAGGAGAGGGTGGGGCTTGGGGAGGGGAGGGGCCTCAGCATGGTCCAAGGCCACAGAGTCCACCCTTCAAAGCAGCCATTTTCTCCAGGGGAGCTGATCTCTGTCAGCTGGAGACCAGTGGTCAAAGCAGGAGATTCCCCAGGCCCCAACCATGCCAAGTACAAACTAGGGCTGACCCAGGTTAGCTTCCAAGCTCCGGTGAGATCCTAACTGGAGAGGTTTTAACCAAGGGAAAAGCAGCTCCGACTGTGAACTCGAGGAGTGAACAGTGCCGCCGTTCAGAAAGGAGCCTGCCCAAATCTCCGTTTTTGTTCCCTGTTTAGTTTGAAGACAGAGTGTGCAACAGGCCCGAGGACAACAGGGCTCTCTTCATTCCTAGCTGCCCTGAGCATTTTTCAGCTGGAGAGGCGGGGGCAGAGATTTGCAGAGCAAATAAAATAACTGGAGACGGGAGCATCTCTCCAAAGCTGGCGCTTCTGGCGTCTAATACAGGGAACGTTGTTCTTTGCTTCCATCCAAATCCTCCGCCACTGCTATTAAAACAAGAGACAGGAGCGCAGCTGTGGAGGGAGGCAGCCGGCAGAAACACTGGCTTGTTCTGGTGAGGCTTTTGTGGGCGGGGGTGGAGGTGGCCCAGGCTCTTTCTTCCCACACGCAAGCCACACGGGGCCCTCCACACAACAGCCTGCCTACAAAAGGCTACTGACGGCAAACGCCAAACAGAAACAAGCACCCTTGTTTTTTAAAAAATGAAACGAACATTCTGAATGTATCCCAAGTTTCCTTCTGTTCCGTGAAGATAGGTTTCAGGAGGGGAGCTGTGTTGGTCTGTGGAAGAGCAAGATTTGAGTCCAGTCATAAGAACATGAGAGAAGCCAATGCTGGATCAGGCCAGTGGCCCCTCCGGTCCCACACTCTGGGTCACACAGTGGCCAAAACTACCAGGTGCCATCAGGAGGTCCGGCAGTGGGGCCAGGACACTAGAAGCCCCTCCCACTGTTGCCTCCCGCCCAAGCACCAAGAATACAGAGCATCCCTTGCCCCGACCGAGAGTTCCAGATAAACATAAGAGAAGCCCATGTTGGATCAGGCCAGTGGCCCCTCCAGTCCAACACTCTGGGTCACACAGTGGCCAAAACTACCAGGTGCCATCAGGAGGTCCGGCAGTGGGGCCAGGACATTAGAAGCCCTCCCACTGTTGCCTCCCGCCCAAGCACCAAGAATACAGAGCATCCCTTGCCCCAGACTGAGAGTTCCTATAGGAACATAAGAGAAGCCAATGTTGGATCAGGCCAGTGGCCCCTCCAGTCCAACACTCTGCGTCACACAGTGGCCAAAAATACCAGGGGCCATCAGGAGGTCCGGCAGTGGGGCCAGGACGCTAGAAGCCCTCCCACTGTTGCCCCCCCCCCAAGCACCAAGAATACAGAGCACCACTTGCCCCAGTCTGAGAATTCCTATAAGAACATAAGAGAGAAGCCAATGTTGGATCAGGCCAGTGGCCCCTCCAGTCCAACACTCTGTGTCACACAGTGGCCAAAAATACCAGGGGCCATCAGGAGGTCCGGCAGTGGGGCCAGGACGCTAGAAGCCCTCCCACTGTTGCCCCCCCCAAGCACCAAGAATACAGAGCACCACTTGCCCCAGTCTGAGAGTTCCTATAAGAACATAAGAGAGAAGCCAATGTTGGATCAGGCCAGTGGCCCCTCCAGTCCAACACTCTGTGTCACACAGTGGCCAAAACTACCAGGGGCCATCAGGAGGTCCAGCAGTGGGGCCAGGACACTAGAAGCCCTCCCACTGTTGTCCCCACCCCCAAGCGGGCTATACATCCAATCTCCTCCTCCTCCTCCTCCTTCGGAGATGGGGGTTGATTGATTGACTTACCCGGGGAAGCCAACAGCAGGTTTCCACACACTGATCAAATCCAGGGGGATTTTTTTGGCACAGACCTCATTAAATGAACAGGATCAATAAAATATAATAAATACAGGATAAATATCCCGGTGCGCAATTCCCCATCCAAATCACACACCCACACAACTCCCACCCCTGCAAATTACCTTTAAATCATTGCTGGGATGACCTCACCGTGGGCCTCCCAGAGTCACATCCAGTGTTCCCCCTAAGCTGAGTTAGTGTGAGCCAGTTCACAGTTTTTTAGCCTCCGGCTCACACATTTTAGTTTTCGCTCAGGAAGGATGTGGCTCCAGAGCAAACGAATTGATGCAGCAGCCAAACCGCTCGCTCACAACTTTAATGCCAGCAGCTCACAAAGTAGAATTTTTGCTCACAAGACTCCACAGCTGAGAGGGAGCATTGCCAGTTTGGTCCTCAGACCCTAGTCCTGAAAGTGAACAGTCCATACAGGATAGATGCTCAGTAACATAAACACTCCAATTTCTGGTTCCAGGTTGGTTATCTTTTTAGGAAAAGCCTCCGTGACCAATCTGTTCCCAGGGATCAGACAGCAAACTCTCAACACCCCACTATGTTAAACTGGGATATTTCTTTTATGCACTCAAGTGAACACATGAGAGACACCATTGGCTAATACTTTGCAGTCATCACTTTCTGCTTTTTTAGAGTGCAGTGGGGCACCTTTAAGACCAACAAAGTTTTATTCAAGGCATGAGCTTTCATGTGCACGCACACTAAGCGTCCATGCGCACAAAAGCTTTTGACTTGAATAAAACTTTTTCAATAAAACTAATAAATAAAACAAAGTTTTAAATAAAATTAAGTTTTAAATAAAACTTAGTTTTAATAAAACTAAGTGTGCATGCGCACGAAAGCTTGTACCTTCAATAAAACTTTGTTGGTCTTAAAGGTGCCGCTGGACTCTAAATCTGATCTGCTGCTTCAGACACACACGGCTACACCACCTGGATCTATTCTACTCTTTTTGGCAGTCATTTTGGCCTGGGTGTGTTGCTCCGGGTGCATTTGTATTTTGTGCAAGTGAATAAAGAAAGAAAGGTCGTTTGTGACTGTGTGACCCTCATATTCCTCTTTCTTTCCTTCCAGGGTCGACATGGTCTTACCTCGGTAAGTAGCGGCTTCAGTTCGTATTCTGAAACCGTCAGGTTCTTTATCCCGCACTTTCGACTGCCAGATTAGATCTGGGAAGCTGTAATTTAGTAAACAGCCTGTCATTCGTCCTCCCCGGGGTGGACAAGCCTCCCATTCATCCGTGTGACCAGGTCCTAATGACCATGTGACGAGATCTCGTAGTGACTCCGCGGCATGTGATACCTTGATGATGCAGTTCGCCTCTCCCAGGTGAGCCGTCGGGGTCAGAGATGGTGCTGCATGTCCCATCATGTGGAAACAATAGCAACCAAGGGAAGGGAGCCAGGTGAACTTAGAGGTAAAATGTATGATTGAGTTGACCCAATGAAGCTCCACCTGACGTTCTCCCATCTGAGCACCGAGCCGGCTTAGTTTCCAAGCTCTGACGAGGTCGGGCTGGTTGAGGCTGGCCAACGTGATATCATGGCTGGGCTGGCAGCAAAATAAACGTCTTGGAAACCTGCTTGGTGAGGGATGAGTGTAAAGGGGAAAGGGGGCACAAATTAGCCTGTTTAAGGCCCTTAGAGTGTACAGCGTTCCAGAGGGGAGGTATTGGAGTGTGATAATCGCCTCCCCCCACATACACAATTCCTCGTAAACGTGTAAGCTTTTCGTTTGTGTGATCGCTGTGTTAATTGCTCTATTGTGTTAGAGACTATCAACTTGCGCTTGAGAAAGATGGGATATAAAATGCCTGAAATAAACAGGAAACCGCTTACGGCCAGGCCCGTGGTTAAGGCGGGACTTTTGGGGGCTCCGCCCCCTTTCTTAAAGGCACAGCCTTACAAGAACGTCTCCTGTAAATGCTTTTTCTCAATCATTTTGAAACATTTTTAAAGCGTATGCTTCTTTAAGCAGGGTGGGGTGCTGTAGTGGACTAATTCCCGCACTGAGCAAGGGGGTTGGAGTAAGTGTAGGACCCCTTCCAACTCTGTGGCAAGAAACTGGTCTCCTTTCAGAGAGTTTTCCTGCCTAAGTGTTGGCTTTCTCGACTATAGAAGTCCTCAACCCCCCACCTGCCGGCTTGTTCTCATGATTGTTGCTTAGGCTGGCAGAAGTGATTAACTTGCAGCAGCTGAGAACTGCCATCTAAAGTGGTTGACAGCTTGCAGTTTAGAGATCTATTCTGGCAACAGCTTTCTACTAGCTTAAATGGCTTGTCTTTCTGCACTGAGAACTTCAGCCCCACCAGAAAAAAATTTGCCCCACAAGCCACAAAATCCTGGCTACGGGCCCGCTTATGGCTGCCTGTGGGCCTGGCTTTGGTTTGGCTTCTTTGGAAAAGGGCCATGGCTCCATTGTAGAGCACCTCCTTGGCATGCAGAAGGTCCCAGGTTCAAACCCCGACATCTCCTCTCAAAAGGACCAGTCAGTAGGCGATGGGAAAGACTTCTGCCTGAGACCCCGGACAGCAGCTGCCAGCCTGGGCAGACAATACTTATATTGATGGACTGAGGGTCTAGTTCAGTATAAGGCAGCTGCATGTGAAACTTCCATGCAGAGGAGGGGCCGTGGCTCAGTGGCAGGGCATCTACTTGGCATGTAGAAGATCCCAGGTTCAGTCCCCGGCATCTCCAGTCAAAAGGATCAGGTTGTAGTTGAGACCCTGGAGAGCGGCTGCCAGTTTGAGCAGACAATACCTACACCGACGGACAGATGCTCTGATTCAGTGTAAGGCAGCTTCCTGAGTCCCTAGGTACCACGTCCAAGAGAACAAGTGTCTTTTTGACAAGGGCCAATTTCCCAGGAGTGGAGCGTTTTGTTCTTTGTTTAAATTGACTCCGAGATCTTGAGACGCTTTGGCCTGCAACAAAGGTCCCCTTCACGTTCCCCGTCCAGATGGCAAGGCTTGGCGTTTTGTATCTGGCTCGTGCGGTAGGAAAAACCCTCCAGCGCTAGGAGGAGAGAGGAATGCACAGCTGATTCTGGTGGGACCTTGCCTATGACAGAGGCTGTGGTTTCGACCACAGCGGGAATCCCTCGGCCCTCATGAGATAAGGGAGAAAGACAACTTTTGCATTCTTTGCGTTTCCTTGTTGTTACTCCGTATACTTGAAAAAAGGAATCACGCTAGAACAAATTTTCCTTCCGAGGGAAGGTGCTCAAAGTTAAAAAAAAAGTTGTTTTGTGGCTCTCCGCTTCTTCAAATGCAGGCCGTTTGGGTCAGCTTGCCTGCCAGGAGAAAGTGGTAAAGCTTTATGATTTTTTTTTAATTAAAAAGATCAGATTATTTTCAAGAGAGAAGAGAAGAAGAAGAGATTGGTTTTATACCCCGCCCTTCACTCGGAGTCCCAGAGCAGTTTACAATCTCCTTTCCCTTCCCCTCCCCACAACAGACACCCTGTGAGGTAGGTGGGGCTGAGAGAGCGCGTTCCAGGACTGCTCTTGAGAGAACAGCTCTGAGAGAACCTGTGACTGACCCAAGGTCACACCAGCAGCTGCATGCAGAGGAGTGGGGAGTCAAAACCCACATTAGAGTCTGCCCTCCGAACCACGACACCAAACTGGCTCTCAAGTATATGTTGAGCAGGGTGAAGGAGGCAAATACTCAGCCAGATGATACTGGCCCACAAACATGATTCGCACCCCACACCTGAAATCAGAATGCGCTTGGAGATGTGCAGCCAGATCTGTGCTTCCTTCTTCATTTTCTTAATTTATATCCCATCTTTCTCCCCCCAGTGGGTTGAAAATAATGAAAGCACCGATCTGTAGTAAGGCCAATGAAAAGGAAACCCACAGATTAGAACAACAGCATGGGGTTGTTCCATGTTTTTTAAAAAAAAACTCTCCCACAGTGCCTGGAAGGCCAGGGGGCGGCGGCAATGAAGCCTTCAGGTGAGAGTAGGCCATTGCCTGGGGCTGCAACTGAAAAGGCCCTGCAAACCATCAATCCAACATCTGTTGATGTGGGCACCCACCACAGGGTACCAGTAGCCTATTATGTTATGTCCTGGTTCCCTCATGGTGGTTCCCAGTTAGACCCCAGAGCTCTTGAAACTTGGCTGGATTGCTCTTAACTCAGATTGAGGTAAAGCAAACACAGGTCTGTGATCCAGCTCCCAGAGAAAGGGGATGGAACCTTGTATGCACCAAGGCTTTCCAATGCAATTTGAAACACTCAAGAACTACTTGGCTTTGGGAGTCAGGACAGTATACGAGAAAAGCAGACCACCCCACCCCAGCAGGGTCACGGCAAAGGAGCAATTTGAGAAAATACATGGGGGAAAAAGGCTTTTTGGCTTGTGTCTTCCTCCATACACAAACCAACAGTTCCCAGGCAGCAGTGCAAGAACACACGTGCAACTTATTTGCGATCCAAACTGGAACATCTTCAAACGCTTTATTTAAAAGTGAGCGATTCTGGGATTTTTGAGAGCATAACGCATTCCGGAAAATGTGTCTTGCCACCAACTTCCTGATGCAATCGCAAAGATAGGCAAGTTGCCTCTACAAACATCAGGAAGTTTTTAAAAATCTGCCTTAAGGACCTAGCAAGAATGTACGGAATTGGACACTTGAGGAAACCCATTTGGATTTCCCCACTGAACTGGAATAAACCTATTCGGAAGAGGAGAGATTCCACAATCCTGAGGCAAATACGAATGGCAAAGTTAACGTATTTTTACACGGTGGCCAAACTTCCTTTCTGAGTGACACGGAATTTAAATATTACGCATCTCCAGTTCTTCCAAATGGGAATAAAAGGACTCACTCCAGCAAGATAAAGTTGAGAGCTAATTTTATGTATCTTTGCAAATTGAAGGAAGCATCTTGGAGAGCGAGACCACGTAAAAAAGGAAGAAAAATTCTTTCCATGAATTTGATTGCAAATACTCATCAGAGAGAGAAAGGCCACTAAAACTGGGGTGGTGGGAATGTTTATAAAATAGTTTTTGTGGTCGGATTAAATCTGGCACCCAGAAACTGAGATAAAGGACGTACGATAACAAAATTTACACCTCTGAGAAGTGTAGTCAAAAGTCAGTCCGTGGGGCATTCTATGCATGCTCTGTTACTGTTCAACATAGTAGGCTATAAATACCTTACTAGGCAGAAACAAGAAAATGATTCTTTCAGCTTTACGGGTAGAGGTATTAGGAAGCAAGATTAAATTGGAGATTACCTCCATCGCTCAAGTTTCTGGGCCATTAAGCACTTTAAAAAAAAAGTGAGGGGTTACAACATTTCTTATCCTTCTTTGAGTGAGTTTTACCAGCCCAGAGCCCTATCGAGGTCAGATCTCGCCCCTGTTTCTGAAGAGAAGGAAAGTGACATTCTCAGAGGCACGTATGGCAAATATCACGGTGCCTTCCAGTCTGGCTTCTCTGTTCTGCAAAGATTTCTGGATTTGTTCCCACATGCCAAAAGCCAGCCAGTAGGAGATGGCAAGCGAGAGCCAGTGTTGTGGAGTGGATGGAGCACCTGACTAGGATTCCGGGAGATCTGGGGTTTCGAGTTCTCACTAATCTATCACGGAAGCTTGCTGGGTGACCTTGGGCCTGCCACAAACTCTCAGCTTGGCCTACCTCGCTGGGTTGTTGTTGTTGTTATTGTGAGAAAAGGGAAGAACAGTGTTCTAAAGCCGCTTTGAGTCCCAGCTGGGGAGAAGAGCATCGATATAAATAAATAAATTCAAGTGAGTAGCAGAAAGAGTAGGGGATAAATGTGTGTAACCACACACAAGCGACCAAATCAGCAGTCGCTTTGGAAAAGCGCCCCCAGACTCTCACTGGCGAAGTAACGGGTAAAAACCCACACCTGTAGTGTCCATTCTGAACACCGCTTTCCTATTAAGTCCACCTCACCTTCTGTGGTCTACAGATCTGCCTGTCAGCCATTTATAAATATTTCAGGAATTTTTTTTTACAAGCCTAAACCAATGCGCTTGCTGGATCTGAACCAATTCAATTGTGGGTGTCTTTGAACATATTAAAAAAAAGATCATTTTCTATTGAAAAAATAATCTTTTCTATACCAGCTTTAAATTCTCCAAAGGATTTTCACGGGGAGGCTCGCCAGGATTAGACCATTTGAGGTCAACGTTAAAGGCTTTTTGAACACTCCCATAGCCAAACAGTTTAAATAAGATCCTACGCAAAACTGTTGTTGTTCAGTCGCACAGTCGAGTCCGACTCTGCGTGATCCCAAGGACCACATCACGCCAAGCCCTCCTGTCTTCCGCTGTCCTCCGGAGTTTGCTCAGTTTCATGTTCGCTGCATCAGTAGCAGTGTCTGACCACCTCATCCTTTGCCATCCCCTTCTTCTTTGACCTTCAATCTTTCCCAGCATCAGGGTCTTCTCCAGTGAGGGCTCCCTTCTCATTGGGCGGCCAAAGTATCTGAGCTTCAGCTTCAGGATCTGGCCTTCCAGGGAACAGTCAGGGTTGACTTCTTTTAGGATCGACTAAATTAATTACCTAATTAAAAGGTAAAGGTTCCCTTGCTCGAAAGCCAGTCGAGTCCGACTCTAGGGTTGCGGTGCTCATCTCCGTTTCAAAGCCGAAGAGCCAGCGCTGTCCGAAGACGTTTCCGTGGTCATGTGGCTGGCATGACTAAACACCAAGGCGCACGGAACGCTGTTACCTTCCCACCAAAGTGGTACCTATTTATCTACTTGCAATTTCTTGCTTTCGAACTGCTAGGTTGACAGGAGCTGGGGCCAGAGACGGGAGCTCACTCCGTCATGCGGCAACCCGGGTCTCAAACTGCTGAACTACCAACCTTCCACTGCCTGCAGTTCAGCGTCTTAACCACTTGAGCCACCGCAGCTCCTAATTACCTAATTACCTGGGAGTAAATCCCATGGAACTCAGTAGGTCTTACTTCTCAATAAATATGCACAAAATTGGGCTGAACGATGTATATTTTACACCAGACATACCAGCCTCAATCCAGTGAAAACCCACTGTACACAGAGGCATGTATGTCTACCACTGTTTTCAGTTATGACAGCCCCTCCATTACAGGATTGCCAACTTCCAGGTAAGTCCTGGAGATCTCCTGGCATTACAACGGATCTCCAGATGACAAGGATCAGTTTGCCTGGATAAAGCAGCTGCTTTGGAGGGTGGGCTCTATGTCGGTAGGGTTCCGCCCCTCTCCAGACTCCACTTCCGAATCTCCAGGAATTTCCAGGACAGAAGTTGGCAGCCCTAACCTCCAATGACCAGGGAAGCTGCGTTTTAACTTTCCCGTGCATTGAAAATGCAATTCAGTTCAAATGTAAGAAATGTGAGAATGAATAAGAGAGAGACCTTGGGGTCATAGTGGATAGATAGATGAAAATGTCAACCCAGTGTGATGCAGCGGCGAAAAAGGCAAACTCTATGCTGGGGGTTATTACTTAGGAAAGGGATTGGAAATAAAATGGCCGATACAGTATAATGCCCTTGTAGGGTGTGGGCTCAACTGGAATACTGTGTGCAGTTCTGGACACTGTTTCTCAAAACAGGACACTGCAGAGCTGGGAAAAGTACAGAGAAGGGCAACCAAGATTATTTGGGCCACCTTCCCTATGAGGAAAAGGCTGAAGAGTCTCTGGGACTTTTCAGTTTAGAAAAGAGATGGCCAAGGGGGACATGATAAAAGTTTATATAGTACTGTCCCTTTGACAATACTAGTACCCAAGGGCAGTAGATGCAGGACAGACAAAAAGATGTACTACTTCACTCAGCCAGTGATTAAAATGTGGATATCGCCGCCACAGGAGGTAGCGATGGCCACAGGAATAAACAGCTTGAAAAGAGGATTAGACAAATCCATGGAGGAGAGAAGTCTATCAGTGGCTACTAGCCATGGTGACTGAAGAGAACCTCCATGTTCAGAAGTGGAAAACCTCTGAATATCAGTGCTAGGAGCAGTGTTCTCTCTAAGCTGAGCTTAGTGTGAGCCAGCTCACAGTTTTTTAGCCTCTGGCTTACAGGTTTTTGTCTTAGCTCAGGAAGGGATGGCTCCAGAGCAAACTAATTTATGCAGCAGCCAAACCGCCTGCTCACAACTTTAATGCCAGTAGCTCACAAAGCAGAATTTTTGCTCACAAGACTCCGCAGCTTAGAGGAAGCATTGGAGACTCTTAAGTCCCGGGAAAAAGGAATCAAAATCTAATGAGAATGTAAAGTCTCGTTACCTTCCTTGGCTTTCCCAGGTCCTGAAGGAGAAAAGATGTGGCCAAAGAGATACCCATTTTGCGGGGGGCAATTCCAGTCTCCCATCGATTTCCATGAGGATATTCTCCAGTACGACTCCAGTCTCCTGCCTATAGAAGTGGAAGGGTACAACGTGTCATCTCTCGAACAGTTTATCTTGATCAACAATGGACATTCAGGTAAGGGCGGGACATCCCGGGGCAGAAACAGAGACCGTAACCATCACCGTTGTCCTCTACGGGGAAGTGCTTATTTGAACACTCAACATAGATTATGTTTCAAAATGCTTCACGTACTTTAACTTGGTTCTCCACACGACAACCCTGAAAGGCAGGCCAGCACTATTATCCACTTGTTGGAGGGTGAGTTTAGCGCTGGGAGCAGGTAGCTTGCCTAATGCCATTTACCGAGTGTACGGGAGGGGCAAAATTTAGGTACTGCCGACCTCACCGTTCACACTCCTAGACTTAACATGTTCACGCACACCTGCCTAGATTATATATGTGTGTGTGTGTGTGTGTGTGTGTGTATGTATATGTATATATATATAATTTGTTTCACTCCCCATGGGTATGCCACTGTTCTCTTACCGGGGGGAAAGTGCACACAAACAACACGATACCAAAAACATTAAAAGGACCACTTAGGTCAAAACAAGAGAGAGCCAGTCCCGGTTAAAGGATTAGGCTAGGGCAGTTCAGGGAAGTCCTCATTTCAAATTTTGCCAAATGCCTTAGACGAGCACACACACCCATCTTTAGCCTCCCCCCGTCTGCAAAATCGCTGGTGATAACACCGGCCAACCTTACGGGGTGTTGTGAAGAGTGCAACATGCTTATGTGCATGATGCAACCTGAACCCTAAAAACTCAGCCAGAAAGCTCTTAAGCATTATTCTTTGCAATTTTTTAATTTTATAAAAGACAAACAAAAAAAGAAACATACATTAAAAAAAATAGGGGATTGTCAATGACATCATTGTTTTGTCCATTTGGTTACCTCATGCATTGTCCAATTATATTTTTTCCCCACCGTATATTTTTGAATAAATCTTTGCTCATAACCAAAAATACAGTTCATATTTCCTTCTAATTCGGTTGTATGTCCATATGGTTTATTTGTTATTCTCTTCCATCCATTTTTAAAACCTTGACCATGTGTTCTCAAAGTTTCCTTTGTGTTGTCCTCTCAAAATTAAGGTTAATTTATCCATCTCTGCAGTTTCAAGTATTTTATTTATAATTTCTTCTTTTGAAGGAGCCTCATTTTCCCTCCAATATTTGGCATATAATATTCTTGCAGCTGTCACTGCATGCATAATAAGATAGGAATCTTGCTTTTTACAATTCTCTGGTATTATATTTAACAAAAAACAGTTCTGGTATATAAGGTTTAGTATATTTTAACATTTTTTGTAACAGTTCATAAATCCAAGACCAGTATTTCTTATTCTTTGCATTTGTGTGCGTGTGCCCTTGCCTGGAAGTCATGGCGACCTCTGGCGACTCCTACTGGGGCACGGAGGACGTTCAGAGAAGTGGCTTGGTATGGCCTACCTCTGCGTCCCCGCCCTCGTAGTGCTCCTGGTATTCCTTGGAGGCCTCCCATCCAAGGACTTGCCAGGGTCGGCCCTGCTTAGCTTCCGAGATCTGACGAGGGCAGGGTTTAAGAATAATTCTTTAAAGGGAGAGTTGCCTTTCTGAACTCTTCCCTTGGGCCCGTCTGGGTCGCTCACCAGCCCACTTAACCCCGTCTCTCTTCCGTGTTCCCTCACAGTCAAAATGAGCCTGTCCCCCACCATGCATGTCCGAAACCTCCGGAACAAGTTCTCTGCCGCGCAGCTCCATTTACATTGGGGGAACCAGAACAAGTTGGAAGGATCGGAACACACGGTTGGCGGGAAACATTTCGCGGCCGAAGTAAGATGGACACACCCTGTTGGTTTATTGGCTGGCCCTAATTTTTTTTAAAAAAAAACAAATCACAAATCTTTATTGAAAGTTATAGAAGAATAGCAACGACCACCATGAAAACAGAAGTATAATAATAGTACAAGGCTATACCAAAAAAACAAACGAACCTGGGCTGCAGTGGCTCAAGTGGTTAAGATGCTGAACTGCAGACCGGAAGGTCGGTAGTTCAGCAGTTCGAGACCCGAGTGTGCCGTGTGACGGAGTGAGCTCCCGTCTCTGGCCCCAGCTCCTGCCAACCTAGCAGTTCGAAAGCAAGAAATGGCAAGTAGATAAATAGGTAGCACTTTGGTGGGAGGGTAACAGCGTTTCGTGCCCCTCGGCGTCCAGTCATGCCGGCCACATGACCACAGAAAAGTCTTCAGACAGTGCTGGCTCTTCGGCTTGAAAACCGAGGTGAGCACCGCATCCTTAGAGTCAGATTCGACTGGCTTTCAAGCAAGGGGAACCTTGACCTTAAACCTATACCAAAAACAACGCAGTATAACAATTACTGAACCATAGATACATAAATACACTTATTGCCAGACAAATAGTGTACCAAGCCGACTAAAAATATATCTCGTGACAGTAAAATAAAGTATATATTTAGTAGTAGGTGCTGATAGTCGCGTGCATGGAATGTGTATTTGTTTCTAAATTGTTGCATGTGATCCATGGTGGGTTGTTGTTGTGTGGGGACACCTCATTTCTGTGGTTAACAATAGCTTGTGCCTGGGGGAAATGCAATATTTCCCTCAGATAATGCATTGATGCTCACCCTGTGGAATGTGGTTACAGGTGAGAATGAGGCTCCAGGTGGGTCCGTGGCTCAGGTCCCAGGTTCAATCCCTGGCATCTCCAGTTAAAAGGACCAGGTAGGAGGTGATGTGAAAGACCTCTGCCTGAGACCCTGGAGAGCTGCTGCCAGTCTGAGTAGACAATAGTGACCTTGGTGGACCAAGGGTCTCATTCAGTATTAGGCAGCTTCATGTGTTCGGGTGTGCTCACGCACATGCAGATTGCAGGGTGCAAAGATGATGTACCAATATCTAGTGTATTTCCACCACCTCTACCTGTGCCCTTCTTGCTTTGCTAACTTTCATCTTCTCTATGGTGCTGATCTGAGAGATTATTCCCAAAGCGACTGTATTCTGTCGGTTGGCTGGTTCCAGGGAACAGAGGAGGTTTTTTCCCTGTATGCATTAAGCCCCGCCCCTCCTCGTTGCGTGGAGCCACCACCAATGAGACCCTGAGCTCACCAACCCACTCTGTCTACTTGCAGCTGCTCCAGAGAATCTGCCCATTTGGAGAGCGGGCGTCCAGCTGAAGTCTGCAGCCAGGGCTGAGATGTGAAAATCTAGAGCTGCAGCTCCAGCTTGCAATAGAATCAGCACAATGCGTGGGAGAAACAGAGGCGGGAGAGGTCCTGCTCTAGTTTTGAACTGGCTCAGTGGCACCTTAGAGACCCAATACGATTTTCCGGGTAGCAAGCTTTCGAGAGTCAAAACTCCCAGACACCTGACTACTCTAATCCAGGAGAATCGGGTTTGATTCCCCACTTCTCCTCCACATGCAGCTGCTGGTGTGACCTTGGGTCAGTCACAAATTCTCTTGGAGCCGTTCTCTCATGAGCAGACAGTCCTCGACACCTGACTACTCTAATCCAGGAGAATCGGGTTTGATTCCCCACTTCTCCTCCACATGCAGCTGCTGGTGTGACCTTGGGTCAGTCACAAATTCTCTTGGAGCTGTTCTCTCATGAGCAGACAGTCCTCGAGAGAGCTCTCTCAGCCCTACCTACCTCACAAGGTGTCTGTTGTGGGGAGAGGAAGGGAAAGGGATTGTAAACCACTTTGAGACTCCTTTGGGTAGAGAAGGGCAGGGTATAAATCCAATCTCTTCTTCTTCTCCTTTAAAGGTTTTGCATTCTCTTTTTCTCATTTTCCCAGATCCATGTCTCTTCTGCGAAAAACACACCTTCATTTCTCTCTCTTGCTCTCTCTCATTTTCTTTCCCCCCCCAAAAAAAACTTTGAGTTCATGTGAAACTAACTTATCTGCAGTGGGGGGACTCTGTTGTGTTCTCACAGCCGCATTTCAGTCCTCATCGGCTAATTTCGGTGGGCCGTTACTTCCAAAGAAACAAAGCGTTAGCTGTCATTTCTTGCCATTGCGTAACCCAACATTAGCCGTTTGCCCTACGTGATTACCTGGGAGGAGACCTCGATGAACACAGCACAATCCAATCGGTAGATTTGGCCACGAATTGTTATTGTGCTCAATTCCTTTGATTCATAACCGCTAAACTGGTTCATGTCTTAGCGTAATTACAAGTCTAGACTCCAGAGGGAAGCGTGGAAGCGACTAAGTGTAATTCCAGGTCGGAGGCAAGAGGACTCTGAATGCAAGGTTGGTCCCACATTCGGGTGCCTGGTACAAAACCCATGTGGCACAACCATCTTTCCTGGTCGTTCACATGGGCAGCGGCTCCAAGGAAGTATCCCGCTGGTCCATAGCTCCCAACAGTAATCTTGTTGATTTTATTGACTCCCTCTGTGTAATCTGCCTTGAGAAAGGTGGACTATAAATTGGGAATCCTCCGGAACTTGCAGAGATGGGTCGAGATGGGCGGCCGTGTTAGTCTGTCCGCAGCAGTCAAAAAGAGCCAGAGTCCAGCAGAACGGCACTTTAAAGACCGACAAAATCTGTGGCAGGATGTGAGCTTTTGGGAGTCACCGCTCACTGCTTCACGGGCTGTATCTGAAGAAGTGAGCGGTGACTCACAAAAGCTCATCGCCCTGCCACAAACTTTGTTGGTCTTTAAGGTGCCACTGGAC